CACTTCAGAGGCTGGTGTCAGCGAAGCCAAAGGAAGTGGTTTTGCCCACTGATTTCAGTACCGCTGGGAACACAACGGAGATAATGCCATTTAAAGCTTGTGTTCCAAGACACCCTAATGTTCAGAGATTTGTAAGTAATCTTCTTATTGTGTGAGGAGAAGGGCTATCAAGAGGAAAAGAGATTAGAGTCTTGTCCTCACATCCCACAGCCCTCTGAATCAAATCTGCAGCGTGTTTCTTATTACAAACCTGAACCCAAATGTGCCAACTATATCTCTGCTTGTGCGCTTTCAGCAAAATCTCCCAAAGGATTAAGGGCTCCAAAGTGGGATTTAAGAGCCTGGTCCCAGAACGGCAGTCCTCAAAACCCCCGCTCAGCTGTACCAAAAGCTCAGGAGCATCTCAGGGTTTTTTCGGGAGGGCTCAGCGGGAGGGCACGCTCAGCAGGACCTCCCCCTCCAAAGGGCTTTGGCTGAGTCTCCGTTCCCAAGGCTATCCATGTCGGACTCTGCATGAAACACAGCAGCCGCCTCCTCCAATGTGCGGTTGTTGGTGTAGGAGGCTCAGCAGGGAGCATGGCTATGCGGGGTCCACCCTGGGGGATTTGTCCACATCCCCCCTCCTTGGTGAGGAGCCTGCCTGGTCTCGGTGCTCCAGCACCCCTGGGAAGGTCACCCTGTGGAAGGGAGGGAACCTGGCTCTGCACCAGCGTACGCAGGGGAGAGAGATGGTTGCAGAACAAGAGGAACGGGGAGAGGAGGCAAGAGGATGGCCGGGCAGCTGGGCTGCTCTCCAGGTAGCAGTAGGAAAGCATTTTCCATGCAGTGCTGCATGTGTCCAATTAAACTGTCATTGACAGTAACATGAAAACATTGGATAAAGGTGTTGGGGTAGAGAGGTAGTCGCTTCCAACAGCAGCTGTATTTCAAACACAAAGTGCCCTAGTTCCTTGTTGGAAGGGCTTACAGCCAAGCACTGCGCAGGGACACTGAGGCAGGTGCCTTTAGCAGCCTGAAACAAAAAGCTTTATTTTGAGAAGGCTGGGACACCTGCACTGTGGATGCATCCTTCTCAACTCATCTCACCAGGCTCCTTCTGTGGCTACTGGAGAGAAATAAGCCCTTTCAGATGTCTCATTTCAGGCTGAGATGAGCCACTGCCCAGCAAACACATCCATCCATGGACCCTGCAAATCCTCACCTCATCAGCCGTAGCCCGCCACCTGGGGTGCCCCAAAAATCGTGTGCTGGTGCTCCCAAGCCACCATGTTTCTGCCTTCTGGGGATGGCAGACTTGGTGGAGTGCAGCCCTGCCACCAGCCCCTGCCTGCTGCAGTGGCACTGGACACTTGTGCCTGTGGGAGACGTGACCACACCTGCCACGGACCAGCATTTCCCAGTGGAAAGACGACAAGTCTGACTCTGTTCCTCTCCCACCCCCTCCGTCGGTCTGATGTAGCACCTCTTCTCCTCTGTTTGTTTGAAGGACTCCTCTCTCCAAGGAGAGCCAATGAAAGAGAAAAAGGATATTGAGCTGGTGGAAGGCAAAAAACAAAGGCTGGCCAGTGTCACCAGCAGTGAGAGCTTCGCAAGCTCTGGGTTCCAGGAAGATAAAAGTCTAAGTGATGTGGAGGAGGACGAGGAGGGTAGGTATTAATTCCTTCCTGTCCCTACACG